CCCCCTCCCCTCCTCCCCTCCCCCCTGTGCCCCCCCCCTTGCCCCTCGAGAGACAATGGCGACGAATGGCGACGGCGGTGCCAGGCGAGCTGCTGCACGCGTGGCCGGGGACAATGCGCGCCGTGATCGGGTCCCCTTCGGGCGTGAGGGCGGGGACCCTGATCAGGAGATAAAATGATACGGGGTGTGTAGGGGGGGCGGGTATATGTGGTGGGTGTAGGCGCGATATGTGATGTCTTGTTATTTCGGCTATCTGTTTTTTGGCTGTCCTACCTGCTCGTTGTCTGCTTGCTTGCTTTTTATCTATATGTGTATGTGTGTGTGTGTGCATGCTGTGTTTTGTGTGTGTGTGTGTACATCACATCAATATATATATATATATATATATATAATATATATATATACTATATATATATATGTGTTGTGTGTGTGGTATGTGTGTGTATGTATAAATATATATATATAATATATTATAGATAATATATATAATTATATATATGTGTATATGTGTGTGTGTGTGTATATATATATATATTATATGTATATACATGTGTGTATGTGTGTGTGTGTGTGTGTATGTGTATGTGTGTGTTGTGTGATGTGTGTGTGTGTGTTGTGTGTTGTGTGTGTGTGTGGTTGTGTGTATGTATGGTATGTATGTGGTATGTATATATATGAATATATATTATATATATATATATATATATATAATATATATATATGCATATACATATATACACATATAAAAAACGAAAATATTATATATATACATATATTTATTTGTTTATATATTTTTATTAATATATACGTATATATTGCAGTTATATATGCATATATATACAAATATATATATGTATGTATGTATATACGTATACATATATGTGTGTGTTTGTGTATATATGTGTGTGTGTGTATATGTATATATATATATATATATATATATATATATATATATATATTACTTGAAACGTTATCATATATCTTTTCGTCCAAACATTCACTTTTTTCTGTCCTCTTCTCTTCGTCTCTCCTTTCCTTCTCTTGTTTGTCTCTTTTCTTTTCTTTTTCTTTCTTGCTTTTTATTTCGTAGAGAGAAATAAAGAAGAGAGAGAGAGAAAGAAAAGAGAGAGAGAGAGAAGAGAGAGAGAGAGAGAGAGAGAGAGAGAGAGAGAGAGAGAGAGAGAGAGAGAGAGAGAGAGAGAGAGAGAGAGAGAGAGACCAGTTGCCTTTCCTCCGTTAGACAAAGGGCCGCCGGTCTGTAGAAGGGCGGGGGGGGGGGGGGGTAAGGGGCTTTTTTCGATATAGACTTTATTTCCAGTGATAAGATATAATGCATCGTTTGGAATGCGCTTTAGATTGTTGCCAAGGATGATGAGGATAATTGATGATAATGATGAGGATAACTACGACAGGAATAATTATTATGAAAGGATAATGATAACAATAATGATCATAATAATAGCAATATTGAAAATGAGAACGAGTATAATGATACTTATGATAACGATAATAACAATAACGATAATGCCAGTAATAACGATAACTAACAAGGATAATCATGACAGTGGAAGCATCAAGGTTTTCTTTGCCTTTGGACGAAGCGGAAGCCGTGGCCGAAGGATTTGCTTTACGTGCCGCGCGCTTTGCCATTTCTCGGCGGTAAACTTCCGGTCCTGCGCTAAGAATCGACTACAAATGGATGTTTCACGTTTATATTTTCTTCGTGTGTGTGTGTGTGCGTGTGTGTGTGTGTGTGTGTGTGTGTGTGTGTGTGGTGTGCGTGTGCGTGTGCGTGTGCGTGTGTGGGCGAGCGTGAGTGTATGATGTTTTCATAGGAAGTAAGAGACAAAAGAGCATCGCGGAATATAAGCGGAAAAGAGTCAACTTCGGGGAAGGGATATTCGATCCCACGCGAAAAAGAATCGGAGACTGAATAATTGGATGAGGGAGTAGAGGAGGGAAGAAAACCCTTCTCCCGGGGCTCGATAATTAGGGTGAGATCCCCAAAACCACAATTGTTAATCCTATTAAGCGGCGTGGTGTACTTTGACAAGCGATCCGGGTTCGTCGGGGACTGGGTTAAGTTCCGACCTTTTGAAGCTTTTTTTTCCTCTCATTCTCTCAGTCCTTTTCTTCTTCCATCCCCATCTTTCCTCTGTCTCTCTCTTTTCCTCTCCTTATTCCTCCCCTTCCCTCTGCCTCTTTCTTGTGTATTTTGTTGCCCTTTTGCCCGATTTTTTTTTTTGGCGGGCTTCGAGCGCGGCCATACTTGCGGTTCGAATGTTTGTGTTGCGTCGATGCGGAACTCTGGGAAGGATTATGGAGACTCGAAATGTGGCTGGGATTTGTTTCTTTGTGTAGACTGTGGGGGGTATCGGGTAATTAGGAAAAATATTTGGATTAGTGGTTGCCTCGTTGGAAAATGCTACACGTGCACGGCAACCTTTCTATCTGTCTCCCACTCTCTTTCTCTCTCTTAATCTCTCTCACACGTGAAAAC